ACCATCGAAGCTACATGAAGGTGGTATACGTGTTGGGTGTAATCAACCATTGCGGATTACAATACATCGAGCATCACGCCTGCTAAGCCTACGCAGTTAAATCGAGTATTGATTGATGGACTCTAATTTCCTTCTGAATCTGAATTAGGATCTGACGCGCGTGAAATTTATAGCATCTGCCGTTTATATTTTTATAACAAAAAGAAGGAGGACGGGAGCCATGTTTTATGTGTATTTATTATCATATTTAGAACTAGCTTCTGCCAGCGGCTTCGCCCGCGATCTCAGGGGTAAATTGCCTATGTATCACTTCAGACCATAATCTACCTCTGTTCCAAATTTCATTCCGGTCCCTTCAGTCGTTTTAATATGACTGAGTAACAAACATACACATAAACTCACATATTTTCATTTATAATATCGAGTCAAGCTAATTTCAACCATTGGCGTTTCGGTTACAGCGTAAAGTCTATGAATGACTATTGTAAACGTTAGAGTAGACAAATACAATCAGAAATCACCGAATTGCTAAGCTATCGGGAGTTTCACGTGTTATTGTGAGTCAACCATAAAAGATAGACATGTGCTGTCGAGGAATATTTTTTATATAATTTTAAGGAGAATATTTCCGTCGTACATGATTTCTATGTAGCTTTAACCTATAAGCACGCGACGGAAGCTTAAAAAATGGAGTAACTTCTCCCGTTTTCCCAATATTTCCCTTCACTGCTCTGCTCCTATTGATCGTAGCGTAATGAAAAGTATACTATAACCTGCTCAAGAGTATGAAGAATAATTGTGCCAAATTTCGTTAAAATCCGTCTAGTAGTTTTTGTTTCCATAACGAACATACAGACAGACAGACAGACAGACAAAAATTTTACTGATTGCATTTTTGGCATCAGTGGCGATCCCTAACCACCCCTTGATAGTTATTTTTTAAATATATTTTATGTACAGAATTGACCTCTCTACAGATTTATTATAAGTATATATATAGATATAGATATAGATTATTCTTGTCAAGAAAATCAAGCAAAAAAACCAGGCATCATGCATTGTAAGTTTCCATAACTAAGTCATATCGTTTTTGAAACCTATGCGTTATTATATACTGTTTATAGTTTCCTATCCATTACTAGCAGATTTTTTGCTGTGAAAAAGATTACTTTTATAATGATATCTGTTTTAAATTCCTCTTTTATGCTTTCTAGTTTATATTCGAGCTGCAGTTGGATGAGTTTAGTTTCGCCATGACTTATTAAAGTTTATAGTTTGTCCACTGAAGTCTGAAGTCTTGAAGTAGCAGCTAACAGTAATAAGTTTCCGACTTCAAACTTATATTTATTTTTATAACTACCTAGTTAGTTGCAGTCGCGCCAAGAGATCAAGTTTATGTTTTATTTTATAGAACACGATACATATTGAGTTATGTTCATTCATTAGGGACATGTAGTAACATGTTCAATATGTTACAATTTATTTTACTTGGAAATAAGACTGTATTTACTGTAATGATCAAATTATGTACGTAGACCTTTTGTCGTCAAGTATTTTTCCTAATAAGATTGAGGCCATCACCAAGCGACAGACACAGAATTAGAGTAAATAGCTGTTTATCAGTGAGACTGTCCATTAACTCGGATTGAACCGATATGTACAACATTGCCATCCCCGTTCCACATTTATTTGTAAGAACATTACCCTCCTTTCAACTCTGACAATCTTTTAAATGTTTTCTTACAAGACCATCAAGGTGTGGTAACGCAACACCTCGGCCATTCAATAATATCTTTCTCGGAAACCGAGCGAAAGATCCGTGAATGGCCTGACGCATCATCAGCGTACACGCAGTACCGGTGTTATGACGTCATCGACCCAGTTGTCTTAGGAGCCTGACCCGCATTCGGTCGAAATATTCGTAGTATTGTCGACTCGTACCCGCAATCGACATTGGACAGGTTTGGCATCGTTTTGCCTACAAATAAAGACATACATTGCGTCATTGATTGAACAAAATAGTTTAGTCCCTCGTCGTCAGTTCCTAACGGTACTTTTACACCTTTTACGGTTAAATAGTTACCGAGTCAGGTGCCTCGTTTGTTGAATTAGTAGGATTTTACGAATGAGTGGTTCGTGGTTCAGTTTATGAGCTTATTTGAAACAGTGTCTTAATAGAATGCCGTGAAGGATTAATAAATGTTTGTTGTCGCACGCAGTGTTGTATTACAGCGGTAAAATATGACGCGATGTAAGCGTGTTAGTCAGCTGTTCATGTGACAAGGTGCAGAATTGAACCTATTAATTCCATAGCAAGCAGTTTCATATTAATTGAAGTTATTAATAACGATACACCTGATGCCTAGATCGGATGTGTTCTGTCGATGAGTGCATTTGTTTAAAGTGAATGAGTGCCGCTAATTTATTACCATTAATATTAGGTATAAGTATAAGTATATTTTTATAGGTATTAAACAGATAAAAAAGATATTTTGGGCATGTGAAACCACAACTTTATCAATTATTTTCATTAGTTTATGTGTTAGTCATTTTCCTAACATTCAAATTTTTGTATTTTAATTAACGTTTTGTTTAGAATAAAGGCATAAAACAATCTAAATAGGTTTGTATATTGTTACAATATAATGACGAATATTGTGTCTAATATTTCCTGTATAATAAACATGCATAACGAAACCACAGATAATAACAGTTCATTACCTACTAATCCACAGATTAAAGATAGGAGTTCCCTCGGAGCCTTGGAGGTCGGATACTAGTGCGATGACTCACATGATAATGACACACGAGATCTTGAGAGATTTACTCATTTTGAACTGGTTCCGTCCACACTGACTCACAAACTCACGCGCACATTTTTTCCTTTCTCAATGCATTTTTTAATAACGCTCTTTTAAATAGCCCAAAGGGACGTTCGACCGTGAGTCAACTGTTAGGAATTTGATATTTTTGTGTTATTGGTGCAAGGGTGCACAAGTTGCACGACTGCGGGGGTCATGACCTTTTTTGACGGTTTTAGAGCTTACGTTTTTTATGCGTCTGTTTGTCTATGGTTTTTAGCGCGGTATAAGTTTCGTATTTAAATCGATTTTTGTATTTTTCTTGCATCATAAACATGGGTACAATGTTACTTAACATCGACGTAGGTAACAAAATTGATTTCAATACTAAATATTTTGTATGATAATAATGAATACTATGTATCTATAGATTATTGACTTCACTTTTATTTTATTTCTATCAGAAACTTGGGACTGATACAGAGGTTATTAATGGTTATTAATCTTGGTGAATTAAAGTAGACCAATTCATTTAATAAACTGACTATGAATTAGATATTTGCGTACAATACCTTCAGTGTGATTTGCCAGCTTAATAATTAACATTCGCGTTAATTATGTACGGGATACTAAAGGGTAAATCCCATTCCATACCTGAGTCAGAATTAGATTCGAACTCAAAATAAAGTTGATAATATAATTGGTTTGTTTGTTCATTGCATTAGGTTAAAAGAGATATCTAATAAGTAGTTCCTATCTACCTATCATATTCAATTTTTCGAATTATTATAGTTGGAATCCTGCAGTTTAAATTTAGAATTTTAGCGATTTTTATGAGTAGGTATCTAGTTATTAGAACAAGGAGGTCCAACATGCGGTAGATAAGGTACTCTATGCGCAATTTGAAAACAAGATAAAAAAACAGTGGGGTGTTAGGTCCCTAAATACCTACTGCAGTCCAGATTAACACCGTTATCTATTTAGGTCAAAGTCAGACCCTATCGACAAATCCCATAAGAATTACAATTAACAACGAGAATATTTCTAGATTAATCTAGATTTTACGAAACAAACAAGCTTCAGCACGAATTTCAACATCGAAAATGAAAATTTAACGCTACAGTGATGTGGGTATTTCTGAATAATTAAACAATCGTAACAACAATTGTAACAATCGTTGTACCAATACGTAAATAAAAACAATCTGTTAGCTCTAAAGTAAACTGTACCCACAGCTTTCAACAATTAAAAAAACTGAGCCCCACCAGCAATAAAATAATCGTGTGCGGAGCGCGAGCGACCAACCCTCGCAATAATATATTTTTCGCAATGGGGCGGTGTGCGCCCGACTGGGGAAAACAAGCTCTTCTACACAAACCAAACGACCAAATATTACAGTATCAGTTCATTTCACACGTAAAAAATATCACTTTCATTCATACATACCACATTTATCGAAGAAATGTCGCGATTATTTTATTGATCACATGTGTATGTACACAAACCATAAATAAAAATCAAATAATTTATCAAAAAACAATATTAAGTTAAGATTTACAGTCCTTTGTCAATATTTTGTAACTACAATAATATTAAAATTTATAAGTTTAAGCACTACAAAAATTTAAATTCTTTTCAGTTCATAACAGTTTTTCAATTTCATAAAATTCTGAATCACATAACACAACACCACTCCCGTCCGGTTGCACTGTGAGACTGAATGACTGAATGACATTGATGAATGAATAGAACGAATCAGACCTACTGAACATGTTCTGCTTGAATGAACTAAATATCCCAGATTTACCATTGGTCGTTCTGCATGTGCGGGTGTTCGGTAATGATACCTATCGCCATCTACCGGTGATACGTTGAATAGATATTACTGCCATCTATTAGAAAATTCTAGCATGTTGTATTTGCAGTTGTTGCAAATGGAGGATAGATAGCGCTATTATCCGACTAAAGTTGTTACTTCTGCATAAAAGTATATTACAAAAACATTTTGGATTTTTTAGCAGAAAAATAAAAGTATAAAAGATTGGAATAATATATGAAATAATAATATATCGAGACGTTAATATCCACTAAATTACTCAGAAGAAAGTTTCAAAACGAAAGGTCATTGCTCTTGTTTGAGGTTGCCTGTTTTGCAGCTAACTTCAGTTTATAAGACGCTGTCATTTACACACGTCAAAAATGGAGGAGGAACGTCTCTTCGATGAAAGAGTTTCAATTCGAGATTCAGCTCGCCCACTTAAAAAATATGGAAGTACTTGTAACCACATGAAAAGGAACGAAGAATATATCAAGCATGTGATGTCAAAAGGCGATACCCTGCAAGGGCTCGCGCTCAAATATGGTGTTACCGTAAGTGTACTAACATCGCAATAAAAGTGTTATTATCTTGTTTAACTCTAAGGGATTCGAACGGAAAGAGTGTTTAACGTGTCGTTTGGTTGTTATAGATGGAGAAAATTAGGCGGGCGAATCGTTTATTTGCAACGGACAGTTTGTTTTTACGGGAGTACTTATTGATTCCCGTCACCAAAGATTCTCCTTTCTACGAGAATGGTGAGCGTGTGACGGAGTTGCCTCCGCCAAATCATCGTGCATCTATCGCGGGCATGCCCACTGGGGATTTCTCCCCAGGCAGTCCAGACGAGAAGAAAAGCTTTGACGAGTTCCTCAATAGACTGGACTCCTCACTGGCTGATATCAAGAAGCATGTTGAGAAAACCAAGGAAACTAGCGAGTGAGTAAAATACATTCTTTTCTAATACGATGTTTCTCTAAATTAATAGTCGAGCTTACCTATCAGCAAGTATTATTTTATTAGTCTAATAGGATTCTATTTAGAAAAAAATATTGATAATAAAATCCATTAAAATATAAAATCTGAAAAAGAAGTATGAAAATTCCATAAACCAAATTGTTGATTACTAGCAGCAATGAGTCTGACAAAATAGTTTCAATTACGATTTACATCATTTAAAAAAAATTTACTTTGCACATGAATATTATAAATGTGATAAAATAATCATGAGTAAATATTGTAGGTGTCTACTCTTATGATAAAATGTTTGTGTTACATTTGATAACTGTATGTTTATTTGATGTTTTGGGGTGGTACCGAGTGCCTCGTGTTATCTATGCATACTGTCTATTGGAATAAAGGGTAATTCTATGTGTGTGTTACACATGTAGGCAGGAATATCACACGACTGATAAGTGAAATCCTTCTAGTTGAAATGAAAACAATTGTACAGTCAACAAAGATAAATTTTAGTTCAACAGAAATGAATTTAATGTTCGTCTTCCATTCTATTATTGTATAATTTGCAGACAAGTGTCATTTTTAATAGTAAATTAACTAACGGTATATTGGGAGATAATATGTTAGTCTAAATTTACTGAAACATTATAGTCAATTATTTTATTTTGATATGGCAGGTCGCCTTATCTAAACTAAATCAATGTCAATGTTAAGTGGTTTATAATTAAACTAGAAATTTCGAATTAAATGATCATTTACTGATCCTTGACCAATTGATCATTGCGGGTATTTTATTTTATCATCTTGATGGCGTTAATAATATCATCATTGTCTCTGTCTAGTAAGCAATGATTTTTTTTAAAACATTGCCCCACACTTGGATTATCTCCTGTGTAGTGGGTGCGTTTACAAACATATAAGTTCACATACACATGTCACCCAGCCCCGAAACAATTTGTTGATCACACAAAGTGTTGTTCTGTGCGGAAATCGAACCCGCGAAACGTTGCACGGCAGTCGGTTGCCCAGCCACCACACCAACCGTGCAGTAAAATTGAATGAAATTATTGATACGATTGCTAAAGTTTTAGGAATTGTCTGAAAAGGTACTGATGGTACTTCTGTGACATTTGAATCTTCTTTGTGCCTTTATTTTTACAACAGCTTATGATTTTAATATGTTGATATATCATACCGAGAATTTGGTCACACTAAAGTAGGTTCTAAACATCGGAAATAAGTTTTATAATGGAGTTAGTGAAGAGCAATCACCTGATGTCGTGGTGGCTCGGAGGTTTAAGACGCCTGCTTCTCATGCATGAGGGTGCGGGTTCGAAACCTACCAACGGCAAGTACCAATGTGACTTTTTCCGAATTATATGTACTTTCTAAGATTATTTAGACACCACTGACAAACGGTGAAGGATAAACATCGTGGGGAAACCTGGACTTATAATTTCTAATTATAAGTTTGAAATCGCCAACCCGCATTGAGCAAGCGTGGTGATTAATGCTCTAACCTTCTCCGTGTGAGAAGAGGCTTTGCTCAGCAGTGGGCATTTATAGGCTGTTGATGATGAATCACCAGTGTCCGCTTGGGTATTCAATTAATATAATTAACCAATTAAAAATGGTTAAAACTGATTTAATGAAATTAAAAATATCCTCTCTTTCCTAAAGGAAAATGTTTTATTATTGAGCAAGGCAATTATAAGGTAAATCCCATGTTTATATTTCAGTAGTAATAAAAAAGTTAAACTTATATTTTCCTGATACCATAAATTAGTTTCTGTAAATAAGTAGTTCTGATTACATGAATATTTTTTTTACACAACATAACATCACGCTTTTTATCCCCTAAGGGATAGGCAAAGGTGCACATTATCTATGGCATTTTTAATGCCACTATACAATGTAACACTCACTTTTCACTATTTATGTTATGAGTCCCATGTAATAGGGGACACAAATATTTTTTTTAAATACAAATAACAGATTTTTACACTCGGACTTGCCTGTGTGAATTAAACCTATGTCTTACATATGCCCAACTACATTAGGGAGCAAATAAACAGAGCCCCTATAGTTTTTTTTTTTATAGAACTCTCTATAACTTTAAAACCAAATATTACTTTTGCTACAAAATGCTCTCATTTCAAAAGTAACTAAATTGCCTTTTGCATGACATATGTTATGTTACCAATTAACCTGTATCAGAATATATCTATCTAGAACTGTAAAAGAAAAAACTATAGTGGCTTCGTTTCTATAGTAGTTTTATGTGTCGCGGAGAACCTAACCGGTTACCGGGGCTCCGGCTCGACGTGCAGGACAAGGAACGGGGTGGTTTTTGGTCAGTAAGAGTCTGACACTCCCTCCCGCCTCCTGACGCACCCAGGCGGGAGCAGGCATTCGATGAATTTCCCCCTTAAAAAAAAGGTGTAGCTTTATGTATACTGTGTGCAATTTCTAGAATATTGATTTTGTATTAAAAACACAATAATAAAAGGAAATAAACAGAGTTATTTTCATATTAAAACTATTAGTAACCTGGGATTTTATACAAATCAGTTTTTATTTACCGTGCTTATTGTATGGTACTTTATAATTTTCCTTGTAATATAAGGGGTGAGTAGAAATTGGTTTTAATACATTATTGATCTAACAACGCCCTAGCTAGGCAACTTATATCCATTGATTTTATGTTCACCTAGTACTGCTTTCTTACTGTTGGAGATTAACATAATATAACATCACGCCTTTTATCCCCGAAGGGGTAGGCAGAGGTGCACATTACGGCACTTAATGCCACTGTGTACAGTGGCATTATGTACTATGTACACCCACTTTTCAATATTTATGGTACGAGTCCCATGTAATAGGGGGTGAGCCTATTGTCATATACCGGGCACAATTCCAGGATCCGTGTTTTTTTTTGACATCTTTTTTTTTAATCCAATAATGATCCGAGACCATTTGCCCTGCTGTCGCACTTGCGATCACTCGGCTGACGAGGCAATAGTCACTAAGCCAATGTTGTAGATTATATTAATAGGAATCCTACAATATTGTTACATTTCTAGGAATATGATAGTGAAAAATGGTAATAACTAGTATTATTTTGCAGTCATTAGATCGCGGCTCCGTTTGGGTGGGTTGTATTCCTTTTTCCGTGAGACTACAGATTTAAATATAATATCACATTATGTAGCTGATATTAAAATAGGGCATTAATAATAATAACTTGCCATTTTTGAGGGCGTTACTGTTTATAATACGTTTGGTGTAATAACATTTTTCAGTCTCCTTATTTTCTGTCGCTTCTAGGTACATTACGTCTCAGACTCTCAGAGAATTTTGAACGCCTTAATTATTATAGGATTTTTCTATTGTTGTGTAACAATTAATGGAATTTCAGTTTCATTTGGTCATTCCATAAAAGTTTGGTGGTTACGAATTTGTGTTGAATGTTTCGATGACTTTATACGTTGTAATTTTCTTACTGCATTCATGTTGGTAATTCTTAAATAGTTACGAGACTCTATTCTTTATTGATATATGTAATATATAATCATACCAAAAAATAAAATAACTACCGGAATATATTTTAATTTGTCTATTACGCATTTTGCGGTTGTTTTTTAACCGAGTCAATTGAATAATTTCATTTTGTGCTAAACAGTTCATTAACTATTAATAACGTTAACGTGGTTAACTCATTAGCTTATTACTAATTAGGTTCTGTAATTAGAACTCTTACCAATCGATACAGTAACCATTTGAGTTGTGTCATAGGTTGTTGTTTTGTGTCATTAGTTGTTGTGTTGGGTCATGTCATGGGTTGTTGGAGAACCGTATTATACCTAAGGCAAACTTGGCAAATGTGTAGGGCGCCAGGTTACAGAACGGGCGCCTCGACATCGCAAGACGCGCGAGCCCATAGAGTGAATATGGCGCCAAAAGAAATTAGGGGCGCCGAGGAGGTGCTTGCCAAGGGCGCTCACTAGGTTTAATCCGCCTCTGGGTTGTTGTTTTGTGTCATAAGTTGTTGTGTTGGGTCATGTCATTGGTTGTTAGAGAGCCGTATTATCCTTAACGCAAATTTGGCAAGGGTACCAGGTTACAGAAGGGCGCCGCGACATCCCAAGACGCGCGAGCCCATAGAGTGAAGGAGACGCCAAAAGAAATTAAGGGCGCCAATGAGGTGCTTGCCAAAGGCGCTCACTAGGTTTAATCCGCCTCTGGGTTGTTGCTCTGTGTCATAAGTTGTTGTGTTAGATCATGTCATGGGTTGTTGGAGACCCGTATTATACCTATGGCAAACTTGGCAAGTGTCTAGGGCGCCAGGTTACAGAAGGGCGCCGCGACATCGCAAGACGTGCGAGCCCATAGAGTGAAGATGGCGCCAAAATTAGGGGCGCCAATGAGGTGCTTGCCAAGGGCGCTCACAAGGTTTAATCCGCCTCTGGGTTGTTGTTCTGTGTCATAAGTTGTTGTGTTGTGTCATTGTCACAAGTTGTTATTTACCCTCGCCGGTTTTTGCCTCACTCTTTGTCTTTGCCTTTCGCTGCCTCGTTTAATGAGCCGTTACCTTTGATTGGTTTTCATCGTCTACTTGTTAGTCTAATTAGTTTTGAGGCCGTGGTTCTGAATAGTGAATTCTAGGTAACTTAAATCATAATAACATTGTAGGTAAGGTCTTGTTGGTAACGTCTTGTTAGTGATGCTCTTCTGTCTACCGCTTGGAAGAATAACAGGTGTGGTGTTAATTATTGTTATTATTAACGTCTGTCATCCATTTCAGTTTGTTCCCTCCACTGCTAATCTTAATTTAAATCGTATGCACTCTAACTAAATGTCAAATTAGCATGAAGACAAATGTTATAATAATGCATGTTTGTGTCATCTCGAATGCAAATAATGTTTTGTAAACACTGTATTGTGAGAGGAAGTCTCTTATCAGCTGATAAGAATATTTG